GGGGCGAAGAGCGCGAGATCAACACCGAAATCCCCATTAGATCCCAGATGGCCATACAAGCACTCCTCCAGCGCCAAGCGGACCACTTATTCGTCTTCTCAACGCCGCCGCTTTGAGTCTTTGGAATCAGATCCCCGGCGTTCCGCCTCTCATTTCCTTATGTTCCTCCCGGCAGCCCCGGTCACAATGTCACAATGGCGGGAGAGCAAGGGGTCACATCCTGCTGAACAGCTGACGTCCTAGGGCCAAGGGCCCGGCGGGGGCGCGGCGGGGGCGCGCCTGCAGCCGTCAGCTGACTCGACGCCGCCCCGCGCACGTGCGCACAGTCGCAAAGGTCAGCTGCTGACTGCATCCACACACGCTTTCTAGAAAGCAACCAACTGTACCAGTGCGTTTAATCAAGAGAATAACCGCCGTGTGCCAGGGCGAAGACGACGACGACACAGTGGTAATGCTGGTTTGCCTGGAGCTCGTCACTTCTCTTCTCCGATTCATGCGGCAAATGTCGGGAGCTCCGCGCCTGCGGGACTCGGGGTAGGCCACCCCGCTGTACACGCATGCACTGAAGGCGAGATGTTGCCTACCTACCAGGCGTTATGAGACCTTGCAGAGGCTGCAATGCTGCAATTGGCAGGTCTGTACTAACGGCGAATGGCGGGCGTACTTTTAGGATGGACCCCTCCCTACTCGCTCCGCCCGCAAGGTGCCATAGCACTTGGGGTATGCAAACCCGCAACACTGTTGCGTCGTAGCACGACGGTGACTCACGATACAAAAGTGTTGAGGGCGGTGCCGGTACCCTTCCAATCCCCTCGGCCCGCAGCTCGGAGTGGAATCCAGTACTCCTATCGGTGCCTCCAGCGGCCGAGTATTGCCGGGCCGGGCCGTCACTGTGAAAAATATCCTCGTAAATTTAAGACATTTCTTGTAATTTTGATTTACAAAATATGTCGTAAATTTACGACGGCCCATTCTTGCCGGTCAATTCCAAGTCGATAGGGAGTGCTTGTAAATTTACAATTTTAAATTGTAATATTACGATTTTTATCATGGAAAATGTTCCCGTAACCCTTGCGAGTATTTTTCACAGTGCTGTTCCAGTCCAGTTCCGAGCGGCCCTACGAGCCCTGGCCTGGAGGCGCTGCCCGATACCCATCTCCGGCCGCTCACCTGCGGCACTCACCTCCTCCTCCAGCCTCGCCACGCCACGGGCCTCCTCAGGCCCTGCTGCAGCCTGCTGGCGGGGCGCTCACGGGGCGCTGCTGAAGCGGTGCACTGCACTGCAGGTGCGTCCCCCCGCGACCACACACGCACACACACACACACACACACACACACACACACGCACGTACTACTCGCAG